ACATGATCAAGAGGTGGTTGCGGTCAGTGGATTTAGAGCTGGCGGAAGTGAAAACAGAAGCGGTATTAATTTCTTCTGCCGAACTTGCGTGGCCGTAGGCAAGACCGCAGAAAGCTGATCGCAGATGTGGTAACTGCAACAACAATGTATGGCTCTTCTATGTGGAAAAAGGCTTTCGCTATCTCGTCATACACGAGAGACATACAAGCAGCATACAGGCTATGTGCTCTATGCGTCGCGTATCGGACGGTGTCGAAGGATGCGGCCCTGGTTATCGTTGGCATGATGCCAATCGACCTGCGTGTTAAAGTAGGTCTGTATAGAGCCGAATTTCGCAGACTCTCGGCTGAAGCGGCTAGGCAGCGAGCAAAACAGCGACTGGTGGAAGAGCGCCAGGAGCGCTGGAGCAGAGGGGGTAAATGTAGGTGGACGCATCGACTCATACCAGATTCACGGTCCTGGATGATTAAGCAACATGGTGAGATTAACTCTTATTTGACACAGGTAACTAGCGGCCATGGTTGCTTTCGGTCATATTTAAATAGGTTTAAAATAGAGCAGGATCCATTCTGTAGCTTTTGCGATTGCATCGAAGACGCTGAACATGTTTTCTTTCTCTGTCCGAAATACTATAACGAACGACAGAGACTACAGACGGAAATTGGAGTGTTATCTCTCCCCGACAACTTTGAGACAAATATGTTGAACGACCTGAAAATATGGAAGACGGTAGGAATGTTCGCCGCAAAAATTATGCAAAGACACGAAGAGCGTCAACGTAAGCTTTTAAGTAGTGCCTAAACGGCTACACTCCCTGTGAAGGTATACCTAAATGGTCGTGCCACAGGCTACGGAATAGGAGGGGTGGTTTTTAGCGGGTTAAAGTCTTGCACTGCCCAAATGGGCGCCTGCTGGCGGGTTTCCACCTCAAAAAAAAAAAAAACAAAATAAAAACATGCTTTCTGTATTAGTTCACTTTATTGATTTGAATTCTGTTTATATTGCTTTTATTTTGTTTAGGTTATTAACTTGTAAATATTTAGTGTAAGACCAAATTTACATACGAGAAAATGGTATATAAGACGAACCATTTGGAATAAAGGCATCATTATCAAAATTAAAATTGTGGTCATCAATTCATGCGACCCAAACCTCGCATTCTTCATTTATTGTTAGATGTTTTATCTTGTGGTAAATCAAATTAGTCTTGGCGCACTGAGCCGATCGAGGTAAACAATAAGCTCAATCAAACCAATATAACTCAAGCCTCACATCGAAAGCATTTAACAATTTTTTCAATGTAATAATTGTGACACAGTCAATATCATCGGATATCGTAGCACAGACGATCTTTTTGCCTTGATATTCCAACATAGCCTTGAAAACGTAAAAGTAATTGTCGGCAAAGATTATGATTATCAAATACAGTTCGTCGGAGACATTCCTATAATACTCGAATTGGTATAATCGTTTCAACGTAAGTTTGTAAATAATTCAAATGTTTTTCATAGTAATATTCATCGATTTGCGCAAATATAAAAATTTAATAATAATGGTAGTACACCATAAAGCAGTACAAAAATTAATAACAATTATAGATTTGTATAAATTTGTGTTTCCAATTGCTTTTCAGCTGCATTGCAAGTGATAATTCGTTTAAGGTTCGTTGCATTAGTCCTGTGCCAGATTTTTGATATCATAACCTAGGTCAAATGAAAACCGCATCTTGAACTCTTCCATTGAACGTGTCTCGTCTTTGAAATTGTAACAAAAGAAAATTAAATATGCCACGGATTCCCTTCATTTGCTCCAAATTGTCTATTAGTAGACTTATTTTTTGAAGATAACTAAACGAACTAATGCAAAAATGAGTACACTAACTCACATTGAATAGTATTCCATAAGAAGTTCAATACGTAGCAATCATTTTTTGTGGCACTACCCTCTCGAGAAACGCAATTGACACTTCATTTCATATTGCACGCTTGTAAATAAATGTGTGCAGCCTTCTTCAAGTTAATTGGCCGCTTCAAGTGCTTCGAAGATCATTATAATGCGAACAGTTGAGGATTATTGATTTGCGCTTTCATAGATTAAAACGATTATCAAAATTTACACACGACTGAGTTATATCGAAAATATTCCCATTTAAATCATTTATGGGTTTTGTGACACTTACATTGCTGCCCATCAGCGCAGAAACAGCGTTTCAAGCTCTGACAATTTCGAGTTTGCGAATCGTAAACACATTGAATATAAAAGTATAAGATACTGAAGGATCTAAAATACGTGCTACTTACACATGATGGCCTTTTCTTCTATAATACATCAATAATAAATTAAATTGTCCAGATGATGCTGGATGTTGCAGCAATTCTAAAGCTCGCTCTCTAAGAGCTAACAACTCAGAGAACCTGTTTTGAATTACCAACCATTCGTATACGTAAGTATGCAAATAGCTGATTTTTCCTTTGAACAGCCATTGCAGTAATCTGATCATTTTTAGTACTTCTCCTTATTACTGCTGATATTGCAAATAGACTGAAAAATGTGGTCCAGTATTAATATGCCCAATTTGAACAAATTTGATTGCAGATATTTTTGACCAAAAATAACCGATGAAAAAATATACTACGTTTTTCGCTATCTAATAAAGTTGCAGTACTTATATTTTGCGTCATACGAAAGTAAAAACGACATAGAATGTCTCAGTTTAAAACCTAACATTTGTAATTTAACTGGGCTTCAAACACTTTACTCACGTCACTCTCCCGTTGAGGTCCTTAAGATTGTATTGTTATTATAATAATTTAATCAGAGAAATAAATTCTAACACTAAAGACTTAAAGTGCTAGCATCTAAGACTGTTGGCTTTATTGAAAACTCTACCACCCTTGAGATTTGAATCTACGATCGTTAAGTAGTTTCCCTACTCGGCCACTAAGGCGGATCGTAAGATTTAAAAATTAAATTTAAGGTTTAAACAATTAATCATCCTTGAGCTACTTCGTTGTTACAGAATTGGAAGGCGTTCTATTCGAAGACTTCTGCATATTAAGACATATTTCCCTGCTCTTGAAGAACTGCGTTTGTATGATTTGCGTTTCGGCAATCACAATGTTCAAGAGATTAGCGAAAGCTACACGCGAACGGAAACATGTACAGATGTCTATGTAAAAGCAAACAAAATTGTTAAAGGAAATTGTAAAATGTATCTCTTATATGGCAACAAAATAGTCAATTATCTGTAAGTGAAAATTGGGTTAAAAACGAGTGGCTTCAATTAGGTTGGCATTAGTGCCAGTTATTTTCGATGAATCAAATACATGAACAGTTATCAGATGAACAGAGGGGCAGACAAGTTTAGATGAAAAGGCTGGCCGAACTCAAGTTCTTCTGGTTGTTACAATCGTGCGCACAAACTTAACATACCCAGCTCCAGAAGTGTTGTAGAATGTAAAAAATGAAAGAGAAAATTGACAAACAAAATAGTTGTGCACACACACTATTCGCATGTTGATCCTAATCTCGTTCCGCCGATTTATCAAAAAATCCAACAATCCAACATACGGACAACCAAGTTGAAAACATATGGAAGAATCCGACTTAGTTATATCATTGAAACACACCAATTGGGACTTAAGAAATCTACTTCTCTAATTTGCACCTTACGATTAAACATATAATTCGCGAATGCCGAAATCTTTTCAATATTCGAAGACCTGTTTTCGAAGCGTCGAACTCTATGGACGTCTTAAAAGTATCTGGAGTACATATCTATAAAATTTTTAACTTCGTTGAAGCGAGTAGGCTAACCGCCTAGGCGACAGCCTTAATTGCTAGTACAAATCTAATTTTTTCAACAATAGTAATAATAATATATCTGTCGTTTGTTAGGTAACTTAACACCAACTTATTGTAGGCAAACAGAAAGACCGACATCGATCTTACAAGTTTGCACTTTGGTCGGCCCACAATTCTTCCATAATAAAAGCTTACCTTTGCTAGATGCGCAATTAAGTTTTCACGTTTCTTTTGATCGACGAAATGTTAAAAGCATCACAAAAAATGCGAAAAATGGTTTTTGTAATGTCATTCATTACTCGATGAGGCGAGGTAACCGTGAATACAGCGAGAAATATAGCACCTTACAGTTTAGTGCTGGTAACGTTTCTTGAGCGAGTTCTCCAAAATGCAGCCGGTACTCGTGAAGCTGAAAAGCCCCGATATCATTATATAATATATATGACCCATCTGACCCGCCAAAAGAGTTCGTCATACACATTCAGGTTTATCATTGATGTTAATGGTACGGCTAGTCGTTATCATGGTTATTTGGGATCTGGCTATCATAACGCGTTCACTCTTTATTCATTCATTGTTCATAACGACAACAGTTCTATTCTTTATATAAAGCGGAAAAATTCAAGACTCGCAAACGCTATTTACTTGGCATAAAAGTAGATATCGTCGTTCTTGTAAAACTTTTAGGTTGCGATGTATTACGGCTGGTGCTTCTTTCCAGATATCGAAGTTTTCTAAAAGGAAGCAAAGCTTTGTACGTACTGAAAATCCAAAATAATTTATATATTCCTGGCCAAGTTGTTGTCATAAGTATGTAAGTATGTAAGGTAGCAAGACTTTCAAAGGTCACAAATGACTGCGAGTTGGCCTGAAGTCTGGGTGTCTCGTGAGAAGCTATAATGAATAATAATCTCAATAATTCCAAATTCATAAAATATTTTGCGTTCGAGTTCGGATGGAAAGTTTACATATGCTATCGCGTACACATATTTTATTTAGTTTTTTTTTTCATTCATTTAAATTACAATTAGTTGAGCAATAGTTTAAGTTAATATGTGTTTTATAAAAAATGCAGCTTCAGCACTGTACATCTTCCTCTAAACCAGCTTCTTTCCTTCTTATCTTAGGTTCTTTGCATTTTACCAACTGATTGGTCGTATTGGGATGTTCTTGGAAGTTTTGGGGCTCATGTATGTTTACTTTTGGACCATTTGCATAAGCATATCTGTGGACAAGGATTTAGGACGTTCGATGGGTAAACCTAATGCACGATCCCATATAAGAGAAGAGAACACTCCGAGAGCACGAGAGACGCCAAACAGTATCGTATAATAGTTTATTTCTTTCAAACCATAGTACTGTAATAATACACCAGAATGGGCATCGACGTTAGGCCAGGGATTGTTGATTTTTCCACTATTTTGAAGAATGGGTGGAGCCACTTTATAGATCATGGATACTAGACGAAATAGTGGGTCGTCTGGCAGATGTTTTAGAGCGAACTCTCGCTGGCAGATGTAGCGAGGATCTGTCTTGCGTAATAAGGCATGACCATAACCGGGCACTAACCGCCCGGATTCTAAAGTTTTCAAGATATACTCTCTCAACTCGTCTTTGCTTGGATCCTCGCCAATTTCTTCTTGTAACTTACGCAACCACATCATCACTTCCTGATTTGCTAAGCCGTGCAATGGACCAGCCAAGGCGTTCATTCCAGCGGCGAATGATAGATACGGATCACTTAAGGCTGAGCCCACCAAATGCACTGTGTGAGCTGAAACATTACCACCTTCATGATCGCTATGTATGGTTAAATAAAGCCGCATCAATTCATTAAACTTTGGATCATCGTAGCCTAACATCTTAACGAAGTTAGCCGCCCAATCTAAATTCGAATCAATTGCTATGGAACCTTTTCCATTGCGATAAGTGTTACAATAGATAGTAGCAGCTACCACTGGCAATTTGGCAATCAGATCCATGCTGTCCTCGTACACATATTCCCAATACTTAGATTTATGAACACCTTGTGAGTAGGCTTTGGCAAATTTACTGTCATGATTAAGGGCAGTGATGGCAGCTGAAAATTGAGCCATAGGGTGTAAAGTTGTTGGAAAATTATTCAACATCGTTACAACATGTTGAGGCAAAGAAGCACGTGCAGCCCATTCATGCGAAATTTGCTTAACTTGGGGCTTGGTTGGCACCTCGCCAGTCACTAGCAACCAGAACAGGCCTTCCGGTAGAGGCTCCTCACCACAATCAGCAGACGGTAATGCTTTTTGACATTCAGATATGGATAGACCACGGAATCGAATACCCTCTTCTGGATCCAAAACAGAAGTTTCTGTAACCAAAGCCTTAATACCACGCATACCACCATACATCATGTCGATAGTGGTTTCGCCCATTTTAAAGGAGCCATGTTGTTTACGGAAGTTCTTAATTCTCTCCTGTTCAATCGGAATCTTAGCAGCTAAAACGTCACGCAAATTAGAATTTGCTGAGATAAACCGAACCCAAGACACCAAGAATGTACTGAATTTCTGAATCTTTTGTATTTTACGTGCAGAATTATGATAAATCGACATGATTTTGCAATATTAGGCGCTTTTTTTATTAATTTATAATTTTTTCAATGCGGCTGTTATACAAACTTATGTTTTTCTTTTTTCAAATCGTTTTCAAATTTGTATAAAATTGAGATTTTCTTTGTAAGAAAAAATCAAGCGACACCGTATTGATTACGACAAACTGACAGATAATTCTTACGCACTCGGATAATAATTTTATTTTGTAGGTAAAGCTTAGTAGGTTAATAATTTATATTGTCTTGACGACACTCTTTGCATAGCGTATTACCTTCATGTATGAAGTTTTTCTCCCGTAGTCCGCTTGTGGTGATAAAGGTACGTAGACAGAGAAGAAGAGTTTCAAGTAGATTAATCATTTGTTATACAAATCGATGCAGAATGATTTTCTGAATTGATTTCACCCCCATCTGTCCATTTGCGTTTTTCATGCCTGAACACGTAATTTTGTCTTCAATTTAAAAATAGCAATTGTACACATAATGATCACACATAATTCAATGGAATTTGTTACGCTCACTTACTTAGCCGTAAATTCGAAAAGTTGAAAATTAAAAACGGCACAAGTCATTAAATTTTTATTTATTTTTAATATTTATTTATGTTTAACATTTCTCAATAAAAATTCGTAGAGAGTAGTATTTTGACTTACTAATCAAATGGGGAAAATTTGGATTAGATGGATACATTTTTCTCGAATCCTATTTTGGAAGTTTTACAAGGCGATATGACATATACATTTACTGGGCTAAGTTTGAACCACATATAGCTCTCGTCTATGCGGTGCCACAAATAGTAAGTCTTTAAACCTAATCTAATTGTTGAAATTTTCCGAGAGAAGTAATTAAAGAATTGCCTTAGGCATCACTTGTAGAATGTTGAAGGGCGGGTCTTGACCGGCTATAATGTTTTAACCAGGCTTGAGTGGGGATTATGTTGAAAGAAAACATATTTAATAATTGATGGAAGGCTTAATTAACCAGCCACGATAGCATGTAGTAAAAACGGGGATGTAAACTTAGCAGCAAGTAAGCAGACGTGTTATTGTTGGGCTTATCTATACTCTTTTGTGTCATTAAAACATTGGAGAATTTTTTTCCATTTCTCCAGTCAGAAGAACCTTCCACGGTCGGGCAATCAGGAAACTACTGTACTATTGTTATACAACGGCAAGCATCGCTGAAGAATTCTAAGTTTTTAAAAAATATATATCATAATATGAGAAATATAGATAAGGATTAAAAATTTAACGAAATGTAGATTTGATGGTTTAGCTAGAAGTGTGACTGCGAAAAAAGTGATCATTTTGAAAATCCTCGGACATCGGCAATCTTGTTTTAAATTAGTCGCTGCTGCTAAGTTACAGCCCAACGTGTTACCTGTTGATTTTTAACTTCTTCAATAAATGGTGTAAAAGTATTTTGAAAGAAAAATATGTTCGTTCATCTTCATCAAGACGACCATTGAGACCCGAACGATTCGAAAATCCTTCTGCCAAGAAGCTAAAATTTTGGCAAGGTGTTTTCGGTTTCGTTGATGCATTCAGTTATTTGTTTATACGTTTCCTCGGAGTTCCCTGCGTTATTTCCATGGAGTAGAACGTACGACGCTTGACAGATGTAAGAACAAGCGTTCTTTCGGGCACAAAATCTTCAGAGAAAGAGAATCAGGACGAATATTTGAACATGTAAGGACAGTTTTAAATATATAATATGTGAATAAAAAAATAATAATGGAATAATTCCAAAAACAAATTTTTTTCTTTTGTATTTTTTGGAAAATATCTGTTGCATATCGCCAGTGGAACTTGTAAGATAATCGCGATAAATTAATGTATGCAGAACGTCTTCCTTTTTGGTCAGATTTTGCACTTCTTTATTCAAATAATCGCCCAAAAACACAATGTTATGCGTATTACTAGATCTTGGCAGTTTGCCTTAAGTCTTGCAATTCATCGTCTTCGAACTTTTTTGATCTGTCAGACCATTCTCTGCCATTTACATCGAAGTCATAAGTTGTAAACCGTTGAAACTAAAGCCGACAATTGGGATTCTTCATAAGCTTCTAAATGTGTTGTGGTGGGCTTCGGCAGCAGATTTCTTCAAATCAAACAGCAGAAGTAACGCGCTTTGAATATACAATTTGAAGCCTTCCATGATTGTCGTCTTCATACACTAAATGACTCAATAATACTAAATGCAATGCTGTTATTTCGTGTGGAGAAAAGTCGAAATTAATGAATTTAACTGTTATGTACATTGATACTTTGTCTTACTTTATTATTTTCACCAATGGATATCCATGATTAAAATACATGCAAGCATCTATTATATAATTCTACCAAAAGAAATAATTTTGATCCTCTTCTTTATCGCATTGCTACAATCGCAAAAATTAAGTTGGGAAGCTGAAATCGGCGCAAGCATTTTTTCATCGATTAAGAATCCAAGATTAAATGAGAAACTTTTAAAAAGCAACGATAATTTTCACATATTTTCGTCTATAACTTTTGAGTCAGCGAAGGCATTTTGCAGAGCTTACCGCATAAATGTTCGTCAAAGTTGTCTACAAGTTCAGTCCAAAAATGATCCACATCGATTAACTAATACGTAGTAATTAACGCCAAAATTTTAATTTCAACTTACTTTCAATTTATTCTCAATTTATTTCATCAAGAAGTGTTTGTGCCACATTTCAATTTCCTGTCTTCCTTTTTACGACTGCAGCAATTCGCCAAAAATGGAAGAGATCAAAATGATGTTGTTTGGTAAAAATATGTTACGTAGTTCTATTGCTATAAAAAAAAATGTTAAGTAAATTGTCCTATCATTACCAGAAAAAAATCATGAAGTGTACTAAAGTAGTTCTTGCTTATTTTTTTTTTTTTTTTTTTTTTGTTTGTATTGGATATGGATTGGACCTTTTAACTTAAATTTAGATCCATAATCCAGTAACTATATAGAAATCCATTGCTGATATTCATAATTTCACGTGATGATGAAATAATGATGCTTTTTTACTAAATTTTTTGATTTTTTGCTTTCTAGGTTATGTTTAACTCATTGGTGATGGAATTGGTTACGTTAAATTGAGTAACGTGCTGTTAACTCAAATTTATATCCATGATCTAGTAACTTTATAGAAATCCATTGATGATATTCCAAATTTCACGTGATGATGAAATATTGATGCTTTTTTACTAAGATTTTTTCAATTTTTTGCTTTCTAGGTTATGTTTGACTCTTTTCTTTATTTCTTTATTTCAATTGAGTAACACGCTGAAGTTGGTTGTGTACACCCCAACGACAGCATGAAGACTGTAGTTCTTGCTTATTCGACAAACGCAAAGTAGACTCCGAACTTGCGTGTGCAAATTGTCTCTGTTATTTTTAACATATGATATACAAGAACTGTCTGAAAAGTGTCCGCTTTAAGGAAGAATAAGCCATAGGGCATAATCTTAGAATATACGCCGTCTTACCAAAAAGTCACAAACTGAATTTTTACCAATATATATAATGAGAAAGAAAAAGCAGGACGTCAAACGCACACATACATTTTTGCCATAGCAGATATTCTATTTGCCTATAAAACGTTTTGAATAAAATTATACCCGATTCATATTTAGAAAAATGGTGCCAACTAAATAACATGCATATAACTTCTTAAGCAAGTGCATGGACAAACGCTCTACTATTGCAAACGTAATATATAATCTTAAACATACATGCTGAAAAAGGACAAAAATATTATGTGTATAAAATCGAACATTTCATTAGCAACATTATTGCAACATTTTGCCTTTAGGGTGTTGCCTATATGGAGCGGGTCAGATTTGGAGAATTTCGAGGTGATGTCCCCGGACCAGGGTAATGAAATTAGGTTTTTCTGATAGGTTTTAGCATTTTTGATGACATATCAAAAATCTGTAAATGGTTATAACATAATTTGGACATCGTATTCCTTTAATATTTGTACTGCAATTTTGCATGAGATTTAGTGGCAATAACTTAGCCTCTTTGATCTTGTGTTCATAATTACAGGTTTAGTTTGTTTTATATGTGCGCGTTTGCTCATATTATTCAATTTCAACATCTATTTTACGTCTGCGTTGTTTATTTCGGAATAAAAAGGAGTTTAGCGAAGATACGACCCGTAAAAAATGGGGACTATCTTCACTTCAGTAAAATTTGGTGAGTATTTAATAACGTATGCGTAGGCATGTTTCCCAAATGTAGTGAATAAATGCTGCCTTTTTGATGTTCAGTTAGTTTTTAAACAATCTGTATACAGGGTAAAAGGCAGAAAAATTAAACATTCTCGTCTCTTTCTGGTTAAATTAAATCCGCAATAAATTGCATTTTGTCTTATGGGGTTACCACAGGCAGGCGTGAAATAAAACATGTTTTGCAATCTAATGATGTATTACGTGTCCCTTTAACAACTACATGTTTTCCCCGAACGAAGATAAGGCGAATAAAATCCTGTTGTATGCACGCCGAAATTGTGATTATAAAGGCATTTGGCCTTTGCCATCAAATCGTATATTTCCCCATTTCAACATGGGTTTCGAAAAGGAAACTGTAGTGTCGCCAATCTATTAGAGTTTACTTGTCATGTTTTCAAGGCTTTTCTAATGGTTCTCGCACTGATGTCGTATATACTGATTTTGGTAAACCGTGTCATTTGGTTAACCATGACTTACTGATCTTCAAACTCCAAGCCTCTGGCTTCGCTTTCTATTTAGTGAACTTGACAAGCTCTTATCTCCACAATAGATCATTCAAAGTCTTGTTTAAATTCATCACCTCGGATGAATTCCCCGTGACGTCTGGCGTACCTCAACGCAGCCACTTAGGACCCATTTTATTTAATTTATACACCTGCCCCCGGTGATTAAATCCAGCCAGATCTTAATGTATGCTGTTGGTGTGCAACTGTTTTCTTCCCTCTCCTTAGAAACGCAATCACATCAGCTTCAAATTGACTTAAAGAATTTACTTGCATGGTGCTCGTTGAATTT